GAAATTTTACTTTGGAGATATATTAGTAGTCGCCATTAACCCAAAATGCCACACATCGAACATTTGCTCTAAAAGTTTTTCAAAAGGCTCTCGTGAAAGACGTTTTGAGCATCTCACTGTAAAAATTTATTTTAGTGGAAAACAATTGGTAAAGCAACAGCAACGTTGTAAAGAAGACTTAAGAACACTGAGCATTGCCATGATTCCAGAGGAGTAATAATGAAGTTTTCTGACAGAGGGATGTAGGATTTAAGGGGCAGAATGTGATAAGCTTTTGGACATGGAAAATGCATGGACTTGCTTTGCTTGAAAATGCCTATTTGTTACAAAGATTGTGGTTTATTTTTCATTTGAGGCTTAGGGATAAGGAGAGGTGGGGCAAGACACTTTAAAACAGTGTCATTGAAGCATTTTTGAAAATCAAAAAGACAACAGAAAGATTCATAAGGAAACATAATTAAGCGGGATAACTTTGAAAGTAACATGATGAATTTACTATGATTTTTAAAAAACAAGCTGTACATAATAAGGATGCACAGTTTCATTTATTTTCATTTTATGTTCTACTTTCTACATAGAAATATTCCTTTTGGGGAGAGTATACATTCTCAGGATTTTTAAATAGTTTTAATTTTTTTCAATTATGTGTGAAGACAATTTAAAAAATTCATTTAAAAATTTTTGAGTTTCAAATTTTCTCTCTCCTCCCTTCCTAAAATGTTAAGCAATTTGAGGCAGGTTATATGTGTGCAATCATTTAAAAATATTTCCATGTTAGTCATGTGGTGAGAGAAGAAACAGGCCAAAAGAAAAGGGCCACAAAAAAAATTAAGAAAGTGAAAATAGTATGCTTTGATTTGCATTCAGACTATGTCAGTGCTTTCCCTGAATTTGAATAGCATTTTCCATAATGAATCCTTTGAAATTGTCTTGGATCATTGTATTGCTGAGAAGAGCTAAGTTATTCATAGTTGATCATTGCACAATGTTGCTGTTACTATGTACAGTGTTCATCTGGTTCTGCTCACTTCAGTTCATGTAAGTCCAGTTTTTTCTGAAATCTGCCTGCTTATCAATAATATTCCATTACATTTATATACCACAACTTGTTCACCCATTCCCTAATTGATGGACATACCCTCAATTTCTAGTTCTTTGCCACCACGAAAAGAGTTGCTATAAATATTTTTGTACATGTAAGTTTTTTTTTCCTTTTTTTATGATCTCTTCGAGATATAGACCTAATATTGTCATTGCTGGTTCAAAGGGTATGCATAGTTTGGTTGCCCTTTGGGCATAGTTCCAAATTGCTCTCCAGAATATTGGATCAGTTTATAACTCCACCAACAGTGCATTAGTGTCCTAATTTTCCCATGTCATTTTCCTTTTCGGTTATGTTAGCCAGTCTGATGGGTGTGAGGTGTTTCCTCCAAGTTGTTTTAATTTGCATTTCTCTAATCAGTAGTGATTTAAAACATTTTTATGAGTATAAATAGCTTTGATTTCTTCATCTGAAAACTGTTTGTTCATATCCTTTGACCATTTATCAATTGGGGAATGGCTTACATTCTTATAAATTTGATTTCGTTCTCTGTATATTTGAGAAATGAGGCCTGTATCAGAGACACTTGCTATAAAAATTCTTTCCCAACTTTGTTTTCCTTCTAATCTTGATTGCCTTGGTTTTGTTTGTGCAAACATCTTTTTAATTTAATATTATCAAAACTATCTCATTTATTTCCCATAATCCTCTCTAATCTCTTGTTTAGTTAAAAATTCTTCCTTTCTCCATATATCTGACATGTAAACTATTCTTTGCTTTTCTGATTTGCTTATGGTATCACCCTTTATGTCTAAATTACGTACCCATTTTGACTTGATCTTAGTATACAGTGTAAGATACTGGTGTATGCCTGGTTTCTGCCATATTGTTTTTCTGTTTTCTGAAGCAGTTTTTGTTAAATAGCGAGTTCTTATCCCAGAGGTTGGGTCTTTGGGTTTATCAATCACTAGATTACTATGATCATTTACTACTGTGTCTTGTGTACCTAATCTATTCCACTGATCTACCACTCTATTTCTTAGTCAATACCAGATAGTTTTTGATTGATGCTTTATAATATAGTTTGAGATCTGGTATGGCTAAGCCACCTTGCTTGGCATTTTTTTTTCATTAATTCCCTTGGTATTCTTGACCTTTTGTTCTTCCAGACGAATTTTCTTATTATTTTTTCCTAGCTCTACAAAGTGGTTTTTTGGTAGTTTGATTGGTAAGGCACTGAATTAGTAAATTAATTTAGGTAGAATTACCATTTTTATTATATTGCTTTGGCCTACTCACAAATAATTGTTATTATTGCAATTATTTAGATCTGCCTTTGTATGAAAAATGTTTTGTAATTGTATTCATATAGTTCCTGGGTTTGTCTAGTTAGATAGACTTCCAAGTTTTTTATATTGTCTACGGTTATTTTATTTTATTTTATTTTTGGCTAGGCAATGGGGCTAAGTGACTTGCCCAGGGTCACACAGCTAGTAAGTGTCAAGTGTCTGAGGTCGGATTTGAACTCAGGTCCTCCTGACTCCAGGGCCGGTGCTCTATCCACCTAGCTGCCCCATCTACAGTTATTTTAAATGGAATTTCTCTTTCTATCTCTTGCTGCTGGGCCTTGTTGGTAAAATATAGAAATGCTGATGATTTATGTGGGTTTATTTTATAACCTGCAACTTTGCTAAAGTTGTTAATAATTTCTAGTAGTTTTTTTGTTGATTCTCCAGGATTCTGTAAGTATACCATATTTCATCTGCTAAGAGTGGTAATTTTATTTCCTCAGTGTCCATTCTAATTCCTTCAATTTCTTTTTCTTTTCTTATTGCTATCACTAACATTTCTAGAACAGTAGTAAAAAATAGTGGTAATAATGGGCATCTTTGCTTCACACCTGATCTTATTCGGAAGGCTTCCAGCTTATCCCCATGACAGATAATGCTTGCTGATTGTTTTATATAGATACTGAATAACATTTTAAGGAAAGCTCCATTTATTCCTATGCTGTCTAATGTTTTTAATAGGAATGGGTGCTGTCTTTTGTCAAAAGCTTTTTCTGCATCTATTGAAATAATCATATGATTTCTGTTGGTTTTGTTATTGATATAGTCAATTATGCTGATAATTTTCCTAATATTGAACCAGCCTTTATTCCTGGTATAAATTCCACCTGGTCATAATGTATAATCCTTGTGATTTATTGCTGTAATCTCCTTGCTAGTATTTTATTTAAAAATTTTGCGTCAGTATTCATTAGATAAATTGGTCAATTGGTTTTCTTTCTCTGTTTTTGCTCTTCCTGGTATAGGTATCAGCACCATATTTGTGTCATAAAAAGAATTTGGTAGGACTCCTTCTTTGCCTGTTTTTCCAAATAGTTTATATAGTATTGGAATTAATAGTTATTTAAATGTATGGTAGAATTCACTTGTGAATCCATTCGGTCTTGGGATTTTTTCTTAGGGAGTTCATTGATGGCTTGTTCAATTTCTTTTCCTAAGATGGAGTTATTTAAGTATTCCATCTAGGCAATTTGTAATTTTGTAAACTTTCATCCATTTCTCTTAGAATTTCAGATTTATTGACATATGATTGGGCAAAATATTTTCTAATGAATGCTTTAATTTCATCTTCATTGGTGGTGAACAGAATTTTTTAAAAAATTAAAAATAATAAAATTTTTACTTCAAAAATTCTTTCAGATCAGAAGGATAAAATAAGGACATTACTAAAGACAGGACAGTATTCTTATAATAGTTTTTATTTTTTGAGTGTCTTGTACTTAATAGGATGTTTTATAAGTATTTGTAAACGAAACCAAATTAAAATGCCTAGATTATAGTTTGCCCACATTCCCAAAACAGAAGCAAAGTACTATAGAACAAAAGTTTTTGTTCTATGGACCATTCTCCAAGGGAACCTTAGCTGTTGTTTTATAAAGTATTTTATTATTATTATTATTTGTTGTTATAAAGTAGATCATTGTGGGTTTTTTTATTTGTTTGTTTTTTGTTTTTTTGCATAAGGTGTTTAAAGAATACAGGGCAGCTAGGTGGTGCAGGTGGATAGAGTGGCCTGGAGCCAGGAATACTCATCATCCTGAGTTGAAATCTGGATTCAAGCACTTACTAGCTGTGTGACCCTGGGCAAGTCACTTAATCCTATGTGCTTCAGTTCTTCATCTGTAAATGAGCTGTAGGAGGAAATGGCAAACTACTCCAGTATCTTTGCCAAGAAAACCCCAAATGAGGTCACAAAGAGTTGGACATGACTGAAATGACACAACAATAACTTAATACATTTGAAAGTCACTTAAGATGGTTATGAAAATTTAAGGTGATGTTTTAGGCAGACCTGAGTTCAAATATGGCCTCAGACACTCACTAGCTATGTGACCCTAGGTAAGGTCACTTTAACTTTTGTTTGCCTCGGTTTTCTTATCTGTAAAATGTATTCCCTGGGTTGTTGTGAAATCAAATGAGATAATAATTCTAAGCTCTTATTACAGTGCCTGGCACATAGTAAGGGCTATGTAAATGTTAATTATTAGTAGTAGTATTTTTTTTGTTTTACAAATTATTTCAATACTTCCAAGATTTTAATTTAATCTGTGGTGCTACTTATCCAAATCACTACTTAACTGTAATTTAGTATTTGGTCTATGAGAGTTTCTGTGGCCAAAAAACTGATCATCCTCTACCAAACTTGGTAATGAATCTCTCCAAACTTATTTAGGCTGGTCCTCAGACAGTAGATAACCCAGTCTATCACTGGGCCTATGCTTGAAGCCTTTGTTTGGTAAAACCTGCTAAAGCTTGTTCTACCTTGGTATGGCTTTCAAGAACATAGGGTTATTTCCATGACATGATGGGGTGGGTAAGTAAGAAATCAGTTTAAATTATCCTAATATGTTCCCCCAAATAGAGTTAAATATGTTTTCCTCTGATTTCAGACCTGGTCTCTTCATTCACTTGCTTTGATAGTGGATTCTAGCGGGCCAATGTATCGTGGCTATGTCGAACCAACTTTGTCCCTAGTTCTCACATTGCTATTGACAGTTCCACCTTCACATACAGAAGTTCATCAGTGTTTGGGTCGATGTTTAGGTGCTATAATAACCACTGTTGGACCTGAACTGCAGGGTAAGTGCATTTCAAATTTTGATGTTAAAGAAAAAGACTGTTAACCCCTGTTTTCAAAATTCTTGTTCTAGCATCATATTAATTTAAGGTTTTATAACTATTGCATGACAGTGGAAATACACAATGTCTATTCAGCATCTTATTTTGAATGTAAATTGTCTCTAAATATAAAATGAATATCAGTTAAATCTTAAGGTGACAACTCTTTGTTAGAGGGGAAGAAAGAATTTTTTCATGGAAAAAATTCTGGCTATTGGGAAATAAGTAATCTTGGGGCAGTCATATTACCACAACCTTGGTTTCTTCATCTGAAAAGCAAGAATATTGGTCCTTATATAGACTATGGCTATGTGACACAGGGCAAATTACTTAGTTACTTTCAGCCTCAGTTTCTTCAACTGTAAAATAGGGCTAACAATAGTATCTCTCATTCTGTTCTTGTGGAGATCAAATGAAATATATTGAGTACTTTGTAAATCTTAAAGTACTAATATATTTTAGCTATTATAATTGATAAAGTGAGAGCTCTTTGAAAGACAAGATGCAAATATACATTCAAAATATGATTAAATATTTCCTTAAAGTTTATATAAGACAGACTGATAGGATTTGGGGGAATATTTATTTAAACCAGTTTAGTAGTTCTTAGATCCTCCCTCCCATGGATAATGTCAGAATAAATGAATTAATATTTATTAAACATATATTATTAATAAATGCTTATGATAATGAAATAGTTTTTCCTCCCCTTCTTTCTCTTTTTTCTTCCTCTTCCTCCTCCTCTTCTTCTCCTTGTCCTTGTCTTTGTCCTTGTCCTCCTCTTTCTCCTCTTCCTTCTCCTCCTCCTCCTCTATCTCTCTCTCTCTGATCCTGCCCATCTCTCTCCCTCTCCTTCTCCCTTTACCTCTCCTTTCTCCTCCATTCAGCACTCATACCTACATCAGAACAGTATACAAAATTGTAATTTTCCACTTAGGCCATTTCCATCTATAAAACTGTTTTCTTTATATTAGGCAGATGTTTTAAATGAATTCACTGTTTAGAATGCTTTCTTTAGCATTTTTTGTGACATCTAATATGATTTCTTCTAGTCAATGTCTCTATACACATTCCCTTTAACAGTTGTTGGGAAACTGAATTTAGGGTCAAGATGAATCAACAGTAGCATTCATTAATTTTACAGGCTATGCTATTGAACGGTTTTTGGTGCTCTTCAGATTTTTTCAGGTAGGGTGGTAAAGGGGTTAAAGAATAGTACAATTTTTTCCAGAAGTTAGATCTAAGAGTAGACTTATTAAGCATCTAAACCAATAAATTAGAACTTTAGAAAATATCAGAGATATTTTCTGCCTTTAAAAATAATCTGCATCCCTAGTAAAAATGATTTGTCAATTCCTTCATGATAAAATGTAATTCTCTTTAATAATTTTTCTGATAACCTAATAAAATAATTGTATTTTTAAAAATTTTCTCTTGTACCTGGGATTAGGGAATGGAGCAACAATCTCGACAATCCGCTCTTCCTGTTTGGTTGGTTGTGCAATCACACAAGACCATTCAGATTCTCTTGTTCAGGCAGCTGCTATCTCTTGCCTTCAACAGCTACATATGTTTGCCCCACGGCATGTCAATTTGTCTAGTCTGGTTCCTAGCCTTTGTGTAAGTATAAAACATTTTTTATTTACTTGTGTTGGAAGTTCAAAATTGTATTTACTAAGGAAAAAAAATGGTTGATTCTCATGATTTCTAAATTCTAGCTCTCAGCTGTAGCATATAATCCATGGGCTCACTCTGGTACTTCCCTCACTTTCTAAACTTGCTTTGCCTTTTAAGAAATGTTTCAGTTAATAGCCCAAATCTCTCTTGACTAATACTTTCCCTTTCCAGACTCTGCTACTTCCTAAAACTTTGAGGGATGGTTAGTTGTAGCATTCTTTCTTGATAAAGACTGAGAGTCGGGCTTAGAATTTTACAGCTTTCTATTTCTGGTTCTTTGGCAAGCTGATGTCTACTATGTTGTTTTAAATCTTTGCATTGTAAATAGAGCATGCGATATGTTTGAGTGTCTAACATTCTGTTATGTATGATATTAAGCAATGACCATGAGATTTATTATACCAAAATAACAAAAATGGTATACTTTCAATTCTATTTCTCAAAGCAAAATTTCAGTTAATATTTTCTATATGATTTGGATTTTACACATTTTTAAACATAGTTCCAAATTAGTTGACCACTGAACCTGGTTTAGGAAGATTATTTTGGCAACTGAGATGAATAGATTGGAGAAGGCAGAAATTGGAGGCAGGGACCCCTGTTAGGATGTTGAAATGGTCTAGGACAGGTGAATGGTGATGAGGGCCTGAACTAGAGTAGTGGTCACATTTGTGAAAGAGATTTTTTGGAAATAGAATCCATAGGAGTTGGTAGCTAATTAGGATAAAGGAAAGTGACAAAGAGGGGATAAAGAGTCAAAGATCACTGAAAGATTATAAATTGCCTTTTTGTTGTTGTTTTTCTTTTATTAATGAAATTAACAAATAAATTAAATTTAAATTTAACTAAATTAAAATTAAATAAATAAGTGGAATGAATTTCATTAATTAATTATTAGTGAAATAAATTAATTGATAATTAAGTTAATGTTTTTCTTTTATTAACCTTATTAATGATTAGGCTTGCTGGATCTTCTTAAGTCCCTTTAGGATGTTGAACATTTATTATATACTCTCTAAAATAATCTTTAAGTTATTTGAAAGTTTCTCTTTGTACTTTTAACCTGTTTACTAGTGGCTTCTTTCCACAGTTGTTACTGACACAGCTAAAAAGAGCCACAAAGGGAAAAAATATCCAAAAATTTTACTCCTGCCTGTTGTGGTTCTAGTTGTCTTTTGCCAATTGCCCAATGAGACGTGTTCAGTGTCATTGTGGATAATGAAAAAGTCTGGCATTAGGCTCTGTAGTACTCATTTTTACCAGTGTTTGATTTTCTCATGGTCATTTACTAGTCAATGCTACACACACACACACACACACACACACACACACACACACACACGCACGCACACACATGCACACACACACACACACACATATACACTTTTTTATTCTGACTTTTTTAATGGAAAAAATTTTGAATGCGTCGAGAGTAGATTATGCTGTTAACTACAGTGCTTAAGCAATGGTGATTACAATAAATGAGCTTAAACCCTTTTTCCTGAGTGAATTAATGAGATCATCCCTACAGACATTCTTGTATTCAAATCCTTTTTCTTTTTATACTTTGTCCTTTCCGTTTCCTCAGCTATCTGGATCTTTTCGCACTAGATGTAAAGTTCCAATTTGTAAACTCACATTCAAATAGCATATAGGTGTGATTTGTTGAAGAAACCTATTTTCAGCCTCTATTTTTTTTTAACAGTTATGAACTTTTTATCAGAGTGATGCGTTATATGACTTGTCTGCCAAGTAACTTTGATTAGAATGAAAAGAACTGAGTCAAACAGGGTTTCCTTGTGCTTGGTCCTTTGTCTTTAATCAGTCTGTGTCAGGCAATAATTGATGGGTGATCCAGACTAATGAAGTAGTTAAAATTAGCATTATAACCTAGTGATTTTTCTGACACTCTAGTATTTCTTTTTTTGTTTTCACTTATATTAAACTCATACTTTTGAACATTAATTTGTTCACAAGCTTAACAGTTCATTAACACAGCTCTTATTTTTATGGTCACTTGAATCATCATATTTAATCTCTGAAATGCTACTGAATATTTTGTACTATAATACTTTTTTTGAAAAGGAGACCATAGTTTTAGAAAATAAGATTCTTTAATTTCTGCCCAGAATGAGTGTTTTACATACTAATGAATTCCAATAAAGTTGTTTTGATCTTGTCAAAATTATTATGTACATGTGTGGAAAGATTTTGTTTAAATCCCCAGATATACTTGGCAATTTTTGTAAGAAAACTCTTTATCTACTTTCCTATGGAGTAAATAATTCTCTAATCATTCTGTAATCATTTTTTCACCATTCAATGTGAAATTAAGTTTGCTAAAGTCTTTTGAGTAAAAAAGAGTTTAGCGTAATTAGAGAAAAAAAATTTTTTTAGAACAATTCCCACTTTGCACATCTGAAATCCTTAAAGTTAGCAGACACCATTCTTAAGTAATACCCGTTGGCTCATATCCAAGTATTGTAATCACTTCCAAAGACATTTTAAAGTTGGTTCTGAACTCATAGCATTGGTAGTAACAACTATTTTACTAAGGTCACAAAAATAAATCTTGAAATTATTAAAGCAATATGCAAAATATTTTAGTACATTCAGAAAATTATATTTCTTAGAATAATAACAATATTTTTCAGCATGATTCTGTTTGCCAGCTGACTTTAAATATTTCTGAATTACAGTTTTTGTTTTCAGAAATATTTCCCAGTTCAGATATCATTAGAATTTATATCTGTGTTGTCCAGCAGGAAATAATTTCTTATTAGGAGTTAAAGTTCATTCTTACTGTTTTCACTAACTGTATTTTAATAGTGAAAGGGCCCCTTTAAAATTAGATACTGAACTAAGCCTAGCCCTTCTTGATAGGAGTCTGAAAGCATATTGTGAATCTATAGATGTGATCTATTGAATGAAGTGTAGTAATAATATAATCTACCTCTAATTTCACTTTAGTTTCATTTAAAAATCAAAGGAGAAAATAGTGAAATATTTACTCTTGATTGAATTAAACCTAGGGAGATGTTAAATTGATTAATAATTTGTGTGCATGCCCACACACATACCCCCCCATTCCTCTCTCTTCCTACCCCCAAATGAACTCTTTGTGACATTGGCCTTTACTCTTCAGTACTGTCCTTCACTTTCACCCTTGCTTTGTCTGTAGTTTTCTTCCATCCCAGTCTTAACCCCTTGGAGAACCAACTCAATGCTACACCATCTTCTATTCTTGAATCCCTTGTTCTTTTGTCTTAACACCAACTGTACCTTGCAAAACCCCAACCTTGAATTACTTATACCATTCACTTCCTCCTTTACTCCTACTGAGTGGAAGTAGAAGATTACAAAAACCATGGTTATGGGTCTACTACAAATTTATTATAGATAATCTTACCTGGGCCCTTGCTACAGCTCTTCCTCCTCCCTAATTGATACCCTATCTCACTCACCATAGCAATTATTCCAAACCATTTCCTTTTCTTAAGCCTTCTTCCATTCTTTCAGCTGAGGACTTCATCCTTATCTGTTATCCATCTGACATCATTCCCTTTATATCTTCCTTCCATTCATCTTTGATGATGCCCTTCTGTTTGCCAAGGCTGATCTCTTATATATATCCTTGATCCCTTTCTCTCCAGCTGGAGCCCTCACCATCATTCAGTAAATTCAGTAAATATTTATTAAATTTCTACTATGTGCTGGGTACTGTGCTAAGTGCTAGGGATGCAAATAAGAAAAAGAAAGATAGTTCTTGCCTTCAAGGTGCTCATAATTTAATGGAGGAAGACAACTCACAAAAGGAAACTGAAACGCAGGAGAGTAGTGGGGAGAGAATCAAGGGGTACTGGGGGTTGGGAATTGATGTTTTGTGGAGTGAAAATCAAGCAGAACTGCTGATGGAATGTGAAGAGTTACCTGGAAAGGTTTTTTTTTTCTTTTTCTGATCTTTAGTCTCTCTCTATCTACTTTTCTCCCCCCTGCTTCCAACAAACGTGCCCAAATCTCCCCCATCCTTATAACCCTCACTACATCCTAGATTCTACTATACATGGTAGTCAAGTCAACAACACTTATTAAGTATTTATTATGTTCCAGGTACCATGCTAAGCACTAGAGATACAAACAGAAGCAATGAAAGATAGTTCCTGGAAACCCTTAAAGAGGTTATATTTTAATGGCAGAAGATATTACATAAAAGGAAATTAAAAAATGGGAAGCGGTGAGGAGAAAAGGGAGAATCCCACATTTGGGGTGCAGTAGAGAAAGCAACCCTGGACACTCAGAAACTAGGCCCAAAGAATAATTAAGTAATGAATCTCCCTGGTCTTTTAAAAAATGGAGGTTCTGGGAGGAAATGGCCAATAATAAGAGGCTAGAGATAAATAGAAGTTTTACAGAAAGAGAAGGCTACTAGAGCATAGTGGTGAAGGCAGACTGCTAGTTATCATCCTATGTCTTTCCTTCCTTTCTCAGCTAAATTCCTTGAAAAAGTCATCTGTAATTGATGCTTCCATTTCTTCCCCTCTTACTCTCTTCTGAAACTCTTTGCAGTTTGGCTTCTGACCTTCATCAGCCAACCAAAACTATTCTTTCCAAATTTTAATTGCCAAAATTAATAGTCTTTCTCCCTTCTCATCCCTCATGACCTCTGTATAGCATTTGACTTTTTTGACTTTTTTGTCATCCTATCTCTTATCAGGGTTTCTTTCTTTCTCTCTCTCTCTCTGTCTCCTTCCCTCCATCTCCTTCTCCCTCTCCCCTTCTCCCTTTTTCTCTCCCTCTAGTTCTTTTCCTGTCTATCTCACTGTCTCACTGTTCCCACTCAGTCTCCTTTCCTGGTTCTTCATCCATTCCATGCTCACTAACTGTGAATTTCCCTCAGTGCTCTGCCCTGGGCCCTCTTTTTTTTTTTCCTGCTTTTATCTCACTTGGTGATCTTATCAGATTCTCTGGGTTCATTTAGTGCCTCTATACAGATGATTTTCAGATCTATTAATCCAGCCCTAGTCTCTCTCCTGAGTTCTAGTCCTGCATCACCAAATGCCTATTGGACATTTGCAACTAGATATCCCATAGGTATCTGAAACTTAACATATGAGTAATGTGAGTAACTCATCTTTACCCTCAAATCCACCCCTCACCCAAATTTCTCTATTACTGTCAAGGGCACCACTATCCTTCTAGTCCAACATGTTCAAAACTGGTGTCATCTTCAACTTCTGGTCTCATCTTCAACTTCTCTCTCTTGCTTACTCCAACTTCTCACCTTGACAACTCCAGTTATTTGCCAAATCTTATGATTTCCTTCTTTATATTTCTCTCTTATGTCCTCGCTTCAGCACTCACAGAGCCACCACCCTATTTCAGGCTCTCATCACCTCTAGCCTGCACTATTATAATAGATGTCAAAGGCACCAAGGTCATATACTGCATCCCAAGCCATTGCCAGTCCTGATTTTTTTTATGCCACTGGACTTCAATGACTCTGGAGAGAGAGTGAATCTGACAACTTTACGCAACTCTGCCTCACAAATCCAATTCACATGTGAGTCAAGACATCACCCTGTGCTGTCACTGATCCTCTTCAAAAATGAAAGACAAACAACCACAGCTTCCTAATTGGACTCCTTGCCTCTGGTCTTGCCCCTGCTCAAGTCCATCCTCCATAGTATTGTCAAAGCAACCTTCTTAAAGTACAAGTCTGACTGTTAATACAACTTTACAATTTAGTAATAATGGTTTGCCTGCTGTTCCTTACCCATGACAATCCATTTCCTGTCTTCAAGGCTTTATGCTAGCTATTTTCCATGCCTGAAATGTTTTCCCTCTCAGCCTTTGACTCTGGGATTCCCATATACTTTCTTTAAGACTTAGCTCAAATACCGCCCCATCCATTAGTCCTTTTCCATTCCCCATAGTTGTTAGTGCCTTCCCCTCTGCCTTCCATCTACTGTGTATGTATCTATTGTGTACCTGTATTTCTCTCCCCTTAGAATGTAAGGTTTTTGAGGACAGGGACTCTTTTTACCACTTTTTTGTATTCCTAGTACTTAGTATAGTGCCTGGCACATTGTAAGTATATAAATGTTCATTGATTGATATCAATCATATTCTCTTTCTGTCTCTGTCCCTCTTTTTCCTGGCTTGTCGTTTTTGCTCTATCTACATGTCATGATTTCTAAAACCCTATCTATATATAGATAGATAGATAGATACAAAATCTAAATATATTACTATCTTTTACCTCATATTGTTGGGAAATGAGGTTTTCCAAATAACTGTAGTTAATTTTTTTTAAACTTCAAAGATTATTGTATATTTATCTACCTTCTTGAACATAACATACTTGATATAATTTAACACTAAGAAGTAGCATGATATAGTGAATGAGAACACTAGAGTTTGAGTTAGAAGATTTGGGCTCAAGTTCTGACTTTTCCATTTAATAGTTTTGTGATATTGGACAAGCTTTTTTTAGCAAGAAAAAATTGGACTAGATTGTTTTACAGGGTGCTCAGAGTTCTTAACATTCTGTGATTCTACTTTATACTTTACTCATCCAGCAATGCTTTAGTTGTTGAATCTTCTACTAAATTGTCCTAGGCTGCTTTGATTTTGAGTTTTACTTTTTATAGGCTTCTTCTTTTTACTTCTTACCTTGTTGTCAGCTGTCGTATTTTACTGTTTTTTCTGTGTCTGCCTCTAGTAATCCTTGCCCCAGCTTCATTTGTTGTTTTCATGATTTAGGAAGGCACATAACTGAGTCTGTGAAATTGTGTCTGAAAGATGAGTCAAGACCTTTTAAAGAAGGGCTGAGATTACTGGTTAATTGACTTTTCTAAAAGATTTTACTATGTGCTCAATAAACAAATTAAGCTATCAAAATATCCTACTGCAGATGGAAGACTAGAGCTTTGTATTTTCTTGTTTGTAAAAAAGCTTTTACTAGGTTGTTAACAAATTTATTTAAATAACTCAGTACCTCTTTTCTTTAATTCTTCTGATATCACTGTGCTTACAGGTTCATTTATGTAGTTCCCATTTATTACTCCGAAGGGCAGCAGTTGCATGTCTTCGGCAACTTGCACAACGAGAAGCTGCTGAAGTATGTGAATATGCTATGAGTCTTGCCAAAAATGCAGGAGACAAAGAAAGCAGTGGCATCAGTAAGTGAGCCTTGCATTTAATATTCCTTTCCATTGAAGTGTACATATGGATAATATTTTTGTTATTAAGTAATAGAATTTCAGTGTAAAAATAGAATAAAACTGTCCCCCCTTTTGGCATGTAAACTCATATATGAACATTAATATTTTAATACAAACATCTTTAAAAATACATTGTGTGACATGTGCTGTCTCTCTCTTTCCTTCTTTCTCTCTCAAATTTTGCTGCTTTTTAACCAAACATAGTAATCCAAATAGTATACTCTGTGTATTCCCTGAAGATTCCTAGAAGAATCTCTGGAATGGATAAATTGATTAATTATTTATCATATAAATAATAAAGATTTTTGAAGGTGAAGATAAGGCAACGGCTTCAAGGTGAGGCTTAGAGGCAACTGAAAGCTTTTGGCTAGTTAATATGCAACTTCAAAATAACTTTCACAGTAACAAAGAAATTCGGTTATGAGTTGATAAAAAACATCTAGCAATGCTTGCTATATAGCTAAGAAAAGCCTTAGACTTAGCCTGTCCTTTAGTTCCTTATTTTTGTGAAGAGTTCTAATCCAGTTTGGACCTCAAGAAAAGGATATCCAGTTTTGGAATACATTTGGAGTCTATGGTGACATGTAGCAACTTCTATTAGTAAAACAAGAAGCTAGAGCAAAACCCAGATGCTACAGGGACAATTCAGAATCTCCGAACTAATCCTAAAGAACAGTACATAAAAATAGCAGTATTTTCAGTAGAATAATCAAAAGATGTAATCATCCAATATACCATTAGACTGTCTATATTTTCAAGTGTCACAGTGTATGTTATTGTTAGAATGTATATATATCACAGTGCCATCTTTTTACTTGGAGGAGAAAATGCTGCATTAGGGGAAGGGAAGTAAATAAATAATAATGATAGTAATAATAGCTAACATTATAGTGCTTATTGTGTGCCAAGGACCTTGCTAAGCTTTTTCTTTTTTTTACAAATACTATCTCATTTGATCATTAGAAATTAACTGTATTACAAATAGCTAAATTAAAAGAATCAGTAAAAATCTTTTAAAAATAAAGAAATAGGGGCAGCTAGGTAGCACAGTGGATAGAGCACTGGCCCTGGAGTCAGGAGGACCTGAGTTCAAGTCCAGCCTCAGACACATAACACTTACTAGCTGTGTGACCCTGGGCAAGTCACTTAACCCCAATTGCCTAAAAACAAAAAACAAAAGGAATAAATTCAGTTTCAAATTGATAAATACTGAGCACCTTCTATATGGAAGGCACTGTGCCAGATATTTTGGGGAATAACATATAGTTTTTGCCCTCAAGGAACTTCTATCTACTATAGAACATAAGTAAATAACTATGATATAAGGTTAATGTAATAAGTGCCTTAGCAGAGATATAAAATTCTGTAACTGTTTAGAGATGAATAATACATGGAGTTGAAAGAGAGAGGAATCAAGAAAAGCTTTGTGGAGGTGATAGAATGGTGAAAGATGTTGAAGAAGGTTATTCCAGGCAGAGGGAGTACATGCAAGATGTGTTTTGGACACATTGAGTAGTCAGGCTTGGCTGGAATGTGAGGTGTGGGAAGGGGAGAAGTTCAAATTCAGACTGGGAAAGTGGGTTGGGGTCAAGTTATACATGGCCTGGAATGATTGGCTAAGGAGTTCGTACTTTATTCAGTGGGCAGGGCAGATCCATGGAAGGATTTTAAGCAGGTTTGGCAAGAGAATGTTTAGCTTGGAGAAGGGAAGATTTAGGGAGATAAAATATAGCTGTCTTCAAATATTTGAGGAGCTGTCATGTGGAAGAAGGGTGAGATATATCTGCTTGGCCCTGAAGGGAGGAATTATAAGCAAAGAGTACAAGTTGCAAAGAGTTAGACTTAGTTTCTTTGTAAGAAAAATGTTCCAACATTTTAAGCTATATAAAAACAAAATGGACTGCCTTGGGAGTCAATGGGTTTCCTTTCACTAGATATGTTGTAGAGATGATTTTTGTTCAGGTATAGATTAGACTAGAATCAGGGGTGGGGAAACCTGTGGCCTCAAGGCCACGTGTGGCCCTGTAGGCCCTCAAATGTAGCCCTTTGACTGAATTCAAATTTCACAGAACAAATCCCCTTAGTAAAAGGGGAAAACTTGTAAAACTGTAAAACTAGGACTCAATCAAAAGGCTGCACCCAACGACCTAGAAGGCCACAGGTTCCCCACCCCTGGACTAGATGTTTTCTAAGGTCTCTTTCCACCCTAAGAGATTTTGATTCTGGTAGGGGGAAAAAATGTCAACAAATTACAAGTATTTACTAAGCACTTACTATTTGCCAAACACAGTGGTAAGTATTAGGGGTTACAAAGAATGATAAATACAGCCTTTATCAGGGAGTTTACAGTTTAAATGTGGCAGACAAAATGTAAACAACTACCTGCATACAAGATATATACAGGAGAAATTGAAGGTAACCTCAGGGGGAAAGTTCTAACCTCAAGGGGGATCAAGAAAGGTTTCTTGGTGAAGGTGAGATTTTGGGTGAGATTTGAGGCAAACCAGGAGGCATAAATGAGGAAATTAGAACATGCTGGGCATGGAGGACAGCAGTAAAAATGTGTGGAGTTGAGAGAGAATTGTCTTTTACAAGGAAGAGCAAAGAAGGCTGTGTCACTGGATCACAGAATTCATGGAAGGTAGTGATGTGAAAGAAGACTAGAAAAGTAGGAGAGGACCAGGTTGTGAAGGGCTTTGAATGCCAAACAGAACATTTTGTCTTTGATCCTGGTGGTGATTGAGAGTCACTGAGGTTTATTGAGTAGGAGAATGACATAATTAGACCTGTACTTTATTAAAATCTTTTTGGCAACTAAATGGAGAATGGGATGGAGTGAGAAAATATTTGAGTCAGAGAGACCAATCAGCAGGCTATTGTAATAATCCAGACATGAGATAGTGGGACAGTTCCTTTCTCTAGCCAAGATGTGCCTCATCCTTCTTTCACATGATAGATCCTCAAATATTTGAAGACATTCTTGATTTTTTTCAACTGGTCATCATATGGCATGATATGGCAGTGTCAGATAAAGAGTGACAGAGTCAGAGACGAGAAAAGTGCATGTATGAGAGATGTTTTGATGGTAGAATCAACAGGATTTGACAGCAGATTTTACATGGGGGGTACAAGAAAGTGATGAGTCAAAGATTACACCTAAGCTGTGAGCCTGCATGACTGCGAAGATGGTGGTACCCTTCACAGTAACAGGGAAGAAAGGAGGGTTTGGATTTAGTTTTGGACATGCTGGGTTTAATATGTCTGCAAGACATCAGGCTCAAGATGGTATTTGTTATATATTTTTATTCTAAATTTTCTATCTGAATCACAGTATTTGCTAAAGACCTTATGTTGCTCTGCTCAGGACAACATATAATTCATAAAAATATGGTTCTTAGCTTTATTGCCAAATTAAATTGTAATTTATTTTGAAAAGATGGTAGCCAGAGAGTGTATTTATTTAAATAGATTGAAATTTATTCAAAGGCCTATAGTTGGTTAGCCTGTTGTGAATAAATAAGTGTTATCACAATTGTTGCCTAAGAGTAGGGCCACAGATGCTAAACATGTTCTTTTGTGAAAATTATTTTACAGATATGAATCCTTTTGCACCAGGGATCGGTCCTCGCCGTGACATCCATTGTCGGCACCGAGGTGTCAATATAACAGAAACTGGCTTGGAAGGGCTTCTTTTTGGAATGCTAGACCGGGAGACTGATCGAAAATTATGTTCTGATATCCATGACACTTTAGGACATATGCTTTCATCCCTGGCCGTAGACAAACTTTCACATTGGCTAATGCTTTGTAAGGATGTTCTGGCAGCTTCCAGTGGTATGTATTAAATGAGTGTGTTTTATTAGAACTAGCCTTATTTAGCATTTCCTTGTTTGGTTGGATGATTATATAAAATACATTTACAAATATGAAGTTAAAAGTTAGTTGTTTATGAACTTGGAACCTGGAAATCTCTGTTGTATGTGTGGACTAATTTTTAAGTAAGCTAATTTTGAATAGTAAACTTTATTTTAAAAAAATGTTTTATTAATGATTCTTTGGTGTTTTTTTACATAGCTATCACTTAGTGTCTTCTTCCCATGGAAAATTCTCTTATAACAAAGAAATACAGTTAAGAAAAACAAATGAACACATTGACTGTATCTGACAATATATTTCATGTTCTGTAATTGTAGTCCACCACCTCTCTTCTGAGAGGAGGTAAATTGTGTCTGTTGTCCTTTACGGTGATCTGAATTCTGATGCCTTTTAGAATTTTCCTTTCCATTTTTGTGGTCATTCTGTATATTTTTCTCTTAGTTTTATTTTCTTTACTAGTAAATTGATTTTCCTACTTTTCCCGATATCTGACCACATCACTTTCCTACATGATAAACTCCAGCAGCTACCTATTATTTCCAGGATCATATATACAGTCCTCTGTTTAACATTTAAAGCTCTTCACAACCTGACTCCTCCCCATCTTTTCAGTCTTTATATACATTCCTCCCTCTTTCCTCTCTACAAGGCATCCATAATGACCTACTGTTTCTCCCACGACACTCAGTCTCCTCTCTGGGACTTTGCTTTAGCTGTCCCCCATGCTTGGAATATTCTATATCCTCTGACTCTTAGAACCTCACTTGTGACCTTCTACAGGAAGTTCCCTCAGTTGTAAGAGCCTTAATCTCTAAGGTTGTCTTCCACTTACTATTGAATGTATCTTTTTATACGCATGTTGTCTTCCCCATTAGAATGTAAGCTTCTCAAGGAGAGAAAATATCTTTGCTTTTCTTTGTACCTTAGCACTTAAAAAAGCTTTTGGCACATAGTAAGTCCTTAACATACTGACTGACAAACCAGCAGTAAACTATTATTTTTTAAACAAAACAAAGGAAGGAGACAACATGTTTTCTTCTTCTTTTGACATTTTTGACATTATAGTTTTTCAGAGAGAATTTAGTTTGCATTCATATTTATTGTATTAGAAAATACCAATTTTTTTCAAAACCATTTTTTTTTACTAGCAATGTTGATATTCTTTCCTTCTTTGACTTCAATTACACTGCTTTTTTCCAGTTAATCTCTTATTTATCTTACTGCTCCTTTTCAGTCTTCTTGCTGGTTCATCATCTGGCTTCAGTCCTCTAGGTATAGGTATTCCTAAACATGCCCTTCTCCATCTCCCAATCCCCCTACCTCCACATACACCCTTTCCCTTGGTGAACTCATTAGCTCCCATGAGTTCAATAATCATATCTTTACACATGACTATTAAATCTCTTTAGCTGGCTTTAATATCACTCCTGAATTTCCAGTTCCACATCACCAACTGCCTGTAGGATATTTTCACCTGAATGTTCTATTAGTATTGTAAAATCCGATTGTTCAAAATAGAACTTGCCTTTCTTCTACCTAAACTGACCTTTCATCCAAGTGTCCTTTTTTCTTTCTTTCTTTCTTTTTTTTTAGGCAATTGAGGTTAAGTGACTTGCCCAGGGTCACACAGCTAGTTAGTGTCAAGTGTTTGGTCTGAGGCCGAATTTGTATTCTGGTCCTCCTGACTTCAGGGCTGGTGCTCTACCCACTGGCGCCACCTAGCTGCCCCTGTCCTCTTTTCCTTTAGAAGGTACTATCTTCCCCATCACAAGAGGTCTTCAAACAAAGGTTAAATGACTATTTTTAAGGGTGTGTTGCAAAGATGATTTGTTATTTGGGTATAAGTGGTATTACATAGCTGCTAGGACTTACTTTTTGAAATCTGAGATTCTATTACCTTTGTAACTTTGGGATCATACTTGATTGTTTACACTCTATTATACCTTACTTCTAGTTAGTTGGCAATTCTTTTTTTTTTGGCTAGGCAATGGGGTTAAGTGACTTGCCCAGGGTCACACAGCTAGTAAGTGTTAGATTTGAACTCAGGTCCTCTTGAATCTAAGGCTGGAGCTTATCCACTGTGTCACCTACCTGCCCCTAGTTGGCAATTCTTGTTGATTCTACCTGCATAGTAACTTCTGTATTAGTCTCTTTTTCTACGTTCATATAATCCAGGCCCAACAGCTTCTAAATGGCTTCCCTGATCCTCATATCATCCTCTGAACAATCCATCTTCCACTTAGCTGATTGAATAATATTCCTAAGGCATAGGTCACTACTCATCAGTCACATCTTGTTACTTCTAGGATAGAATAAAAATTCCTCCACTAGGAATTTAAAACCTTCTACTGTCTGATTTCACTTTATTTTTCTAGTCTTATTACTCCCCTTAATGCACCCTGTATTTCAAACAAGCTGTTGCCTGGATTGAATATCTTATCCCTTACCTCTTTGTACAGCCTTTCGCCACGACTAAAATTTAGTTTTTCTTTACCTCTGCCTTTCGGAATTCTTATCTTCCTCAAATTCTCAGCAGAAGTCCCACCTCTTTCTTAAAGCCTTTCCTGAAGCCCTCAATTAATGCTTCGTCTTTTCTCAAATCACCTTATCTTTATTTATCTGTGTACGTGTAGTATTCTTGCTATATAATGAAAGATTCCTGAGGAGTTTTGTTTATGTTTTTGTATCCTTTGTGCCTAGTATAGTGCCTTGCACGTAGGTGCTTAGTAAGTGTGGTTGAATCAAGTTGCCTTAGACCTCCGTGCTTCTGTGCCTTACAGATATGAGTACTACAACTCCTTTAAGTGGTGGAAAGGATGAAGAATCTGAAAAGAAAGATGAGATGGATGATGACACTATGTTCACCACGTTAGGTGAAGAGGATAAATCAAAGCCTTCTGTAGCTCCTCGCTGGGCCACTCGGGTGTTTGCTGCTGACTGCTTGTGTCGGGTCATCATGTTGTGTGAGAATGCAGACCCAGCTCACTTTGATCTCGCTTTGGCACGTTCAGCCAAACTGAGAAACCCTGCAAGTAAATATAGAATTTTTTTTATTTGTAAACATTTTTTTTTACCAAAAGTCTTTTATTGATTCAATGTATTTTATTGATAGTTAACATATTTTAGAGTTATTCATTTCAAAGATACTGTGTGTTCCCTTTCCCCCTACCTAAGTTTCATTTTTTATCCATGTAACATCTGACTTTGCCATACTCATATGTTTAATAGTGTATGTTTATATGACATCTTATAGTTTGCAAAATGGTTCTATCTTCATTATTTCATTACTGACCACAACCTTGTGAAATGGTAGTTAGTATAGGTATTATTACAAGAAAACTAAGACTCAAGAATGCCAAGTGTTTTTACCCCAACAAGTGACAGAGCTTGGATTCAAATCCCAATCTTCTGACTCCAAGTCTAGTGTTCTTTCCACTGTACCTGAAAAATAATATGAACAGTGGGGCTCTGTCACATATTTAGAAGTAAGAATAGATTTTTTACTACTTTGTCATAAGGATAAGGGGAACAACAGCACTTTAGATCATTAATATGTCATCTGATTTTATCCGTAATAATCCTTAGTATAAAGAAAAAATTTGCTATAGCGTGGCTTTTTCAGGGTGAAGGGATCATTTACAGACTGAGCCATAGAGAATGTCAAAACTCATAATACAATATGGGGTGTGCAAGAAACTAAAACCGTAAAATTTCAGAAAGTAGTGTAGGTATTGTGATATATAAATAGAAAGATAAAAACTTAGAAGTAACAGAACATCTATCTCCTTTCTTTCTGATAAGATTTTGAGTAGGGTTCTCTTTGATCAGCTATTACAAGACATGATCAGACATGTCCTCTCACTGTCAAACTGTATCATCAGACCACATCATACAGCTCAGGTAATTTTTACAAGGAGCCTCAATTCTGCCTGTCATTTGTCATTAGTCTATTTGGAATTTTTAACACTGATGGCAGAACCAGATACTGGGACTTGACTTTAAAGGCTTGGAAAATAAGGTTCCTGGGATTACAGTAAGGAATACATTCCATAGATTTGATATTCTAGGGGATTTTATAAAAAAGCATTCTACTTCCCAATAGCTGATCATGTTAGCATTGGCAACATGTTGGGATTTTCTGGTCTTTTCCTTACTATCAAAGTGTGAAACCAGGTTACATTAACCCAGTTACGCTTTGTCTGTTTTATACAACCACACTTGAACATCCAAGAAAAATTTGGAATGCTGCTGTGATATCAATTGTATATTGTGATATCAATTGTGATATCGCAATTACTTAGAAACAATCATTCAATAATAATAATAGATTAACATTTGTATAGCATTTTACAGATTATAAAGTAGTTTATATCAATAACCTCATTTGATTTGCACCTCAACCCTCTAAGGTAGGGTGGTACAATTATTATTATCCCTAAATTTACAGATAAGGAATATGAGGCTAAGAAGTTGACTTGTTCATGGCCACCCAGCTGCCAGTAGCGGAAATTGAACTCAAACTTAAGTTCTTTGACTACAGATCTCAAGCTCTTTTTATTGCCTTAGGGTATAAGGTGTAATGAAACTGTCAAATGAGATAACATCTGTAAGGCATTTTGCAAACCTTAAAATTCTACATAAATGCTAGCTATTACAGTGCCTGTGCAGTTGATTGTGCTGTGAAAAAGCACACTTAAGTAGATAGAGGCCGGTATCAACAAAGCATCAAACTTCATAATGTCATGGTGCTATTTCCTGTTAGTAGCTAGCACGAAGCAGAGTTCATTTTGGACTGTGTACTGGAGATGAACATCAGGAGCGACTTCCCTTCCTTCCTCCTCCCCTCTCCACTCCCCCACAACCATTTTAGGTAAGGGAAAAGCAGTAATGTAAGCCAGTTTTACACTATTTGGTCAGGCTGGCCTAGCTTTTGTTCAGGTTATAGTACAGTATTTGAGAGAATGGGGAAATGCACAGCAAAAAAGGCTCTGAGAAGTTTCCAGTGGCTTGGCTGTGATGCTATGGGTTTTTACTCTCCTGTCTTCTTTTTGATGTGATATATATGGTCCTGGCTGCCATACCTGTGGGCACATAAACTCCTCTGCTGTCACTGTATTTTCCAAGGGTCTTTTATGTAGTCCATGATTGGACCTTATACTGTTTGGGAGCTAGACCAGAGGGTACATATAATAGTAGATCTATTTGTGTGTGATTCTTATGATTCTTCACAACTGAGCTTATTTCTCCATCACTGGGGAAAATTACCTAGCAGTGAGCTTTTTTGTGATAACATATAATGCCTTTTTAATAATACTCTCCCTAGATCTACTTGCTTTGTTGCTTTCAACTTCTAGAAAGATTTCATCATTCATTCATTAGCATTTATTGAACTCCCTATGTATTATGAATTGTATTAGTTGCTACTGTGGATACCAAGACAAACAGGTTTCATGGTTCTTCCACAGAGCTTTTAACTTAAGTAACATATTTGGACTAATAATTCAGACCAAATGGTCAAAGTATTATGGTATCAACAACATTACAGCTGAAAGAACCTTGGAGGTGATCAATGCCAACCCTAACCCCTTCTCACTTTATACATGACAACATTGAGTCCCAAAGGGTTAAATGACTTGTCCAAAAATCACATTGGTAGTAAGTGGCAGAGCCTATATGAGAACCTGTCTTCTAAATCCATTGTTCTTTCCACTCTATCACACTGCTTTATCACAGCTTTGCTGAAGTAGTCATATGAGGCTAGCAAGGACAAAAGAAGATATTTTATTAAAAAAAATAAGAAGAGAGTTGTTGGAAAGAGAAGAGGGTGATCAGCAATGCTAAATGCATAAAATTTACATAAACTGCATTCAATTACATAAAATAAAATGCATAGGTTAAGAGGTCCATAGAAGACTGAGTAAAAAACAAATATCAGGTTTCACAATTTTAAGAGAACATTGGCAACACTGGAGAGATCAGTTGCAGTTGAAGGAGTTAAGGAAGAATAAAATATGCTGGGTCCATTTAAGTAAGGGAGTAGGGAGATGATATTTTTTTTTCTTCCAAATTTAACATCTCCATTTGTGTTTTCTATATGTCTCTTAGTTTCTGATCCCATCTACATTTTGCTATTTAAAATAGTTTCTCAGGAATTTTAGGGGCTGTTTGAAGGCTGTCAGTTTTTTACATTACTTGTCAATACAGATACAGTCAGAACCTTTGTAGTCCCAGTATGTGAAAGTTTGCCAAAAGATATGATAATATTGAAATGAACATTCTTTAAAGTGATATCATGGCTGTTTTAAGTGAATGTGATGAAAAGTATGTTATTAAGCATTGTCATTAGAAATTTATTTAAAGTAAGAAGTTTCCATGTCAGTGTATAGAATATTATTTGGACAGTTTCCACTCTGGTTTCTATTTTTATTTTTAGATGATCTTTTAGTACTCCATCTCTCTGACCTGATACGCATGGCATTCATGGCTGCTACTGATCACAGCAACCAGCTGCGGATGGCTGGGCTTCAAGCACTTGAGGACATTATTAAGAAATTTGCATCTGTGCCTGAGCCAGAATTTCCAGGTCACGTGATTCTGGAGCAGTACCAAGCTAATGTGAGATAATATTTAGTAAACCATCTCTTAATATATAGTATTTGAGTAACAATTTTGAGATCTCTGATTCCTTAAAGGAATTTTTGGCCTGAGAATCCAGTCTGTTCACTCATATAGAATGTACTTGTCCAGCATATCATTGTATCATCTGATATTTAAAGAAACTGTGGTATGTGAAGATAGTTTAATAAATTTTTATGAGGTCTCATAATAATGATAAAACAAGGATAAAATCCCATCCTAAATGTCTTGTCTTATACCCCTGGAGTGAGCCATACTACTTAATGTGGTCTGTTTGAAATAATTTTGTGGATCTGCTATTGTTTTTAGAATTTAAAGCCTGACCAGAGCTTTTCAAAGCAAAAATCAATTTTCTCTTGTATTTCAGATGTAATGTTTACAAATCTTAATAACAGCAGTTAAAAGATTAGAAAATATTAAATAAAATCTTCAATCTTTCAAAATTTAAATTTATTTCATCTTGTAGTTAATAATGGAAATAGATATATATTCTCCAAATTAGGTAATAGATTTTATCCTGTTAAATCAAAACTTTTTATTGAAGTAGAGTAAGTATTTAAGAAATAAACAACAAAAACTCTGGCAACAAAGCATAATGAAGTTTTTTAGAGTTAATAAAGTAGATGTTTTCTTTATAGTTATTAAAGTAGTCAGTATTCTGAGAAGTAGTTTTTGGTAAATATTCAAGCTGTCACTTACGCTTATTTATAATTCAATAAATAGCATACCAGGTTTTTCTGAATGCTATTGTTACTATGGCTTCATTAGAAAAATTAGCAATCTTAGGAGCTATTTGCTTCTTGGGGTGGTAAGCAGTCACAGTACCAAAATATTTCAGATTGTCCATGGTTTCTGGTGTGTGTGTATGTATGCGCAAATCTCTTGTCTATTGTTATTAAGCTTGGACTAGAGTTCCAAGAGCACCATTGGACTAAATTGAAAAGGCAATACCTAGCACACAGGGAATACTTCAATATACTTCAAAGATTCCTGATTTCATTGTTGTGGGTGCTTGTTCCAATATGTCAAATTACAGCCCTTCTGTGTCTTGTGGTCAGAAAAATTCAACACCTAGTTGCCAATTTTCTGGTGATATATCTAATTTTAGGTAGGCAGTTGATATGCATATTGTCCACCCCGAGTCTCAAACGCGAAGTATTTTCCAGCTTGTTAAGAGCTTCTGGAGCTTATGTTCCACTGTCATAAATGTTTACTGAATTTAACTTAATTGACTGATCTTTGAGTACAAGTAAATGATAACTATAGCCTGCAACCACATGGGCTATACAAAACCTGACTACCACTTTTCACTACTATGTATCCATCTCAGCAGGCAAAAGGCACTAATAGATGGCAGGAACACTGCTACCATTCCCCTGTTACCAGTGACATAACATAATGAATTCAACTGATAATGTCTAGAAGTAACTCTAAATTTGGGAGTTTAATGTATACTAAAGACTTTTTAAAAACTGTTACTAAAATTGATTAAGAATATGACTAAATTTTAGTGTTTCACACATTAAATTTCATCTCCCTGCCATGACCAGTATTTAAATACCAACACATTTCAATAAGCATTTATTAAACATCTGTTTTGTGCAAGGCACTGTGCTTAACTTAAGGGATATAAAGATAAGACTGAAAACAGTTCCTTCTCTCAAAGAGTTTGCATTCTTCTAGAGGAGGGTTGGAATACATCATTTATCATGAACATTTATCATGTATGTATTCTTCATAGTCCTCAATCAGACTTTTTTTAAGTCCTTTCATTCTACATACCCTTTTTCTTTTCCTCCTTTTTCTTGGTGGGGTGGCCTTATGAAGTCTCATGGGTTTATCATTTCTATGCCAGTGACACCCATATCTAAATATCTAGTGCCAGTTTCTGTCCTGAACTTCAATTTTACATTATTAGCTGCCTATTGGACATTTCAAAGTAGATGTCCCAAAGATATCTCAAACTTAGCATATCTAAAAAAAGTACTTATTTTCTTTCCCCCCTCATTTCCCACACCCTGTCTTCCAAACTTGCCTATTTTTCTTGAAAGCATCAGCATTTTTCCAGTCCCCCATGTACTCGGGGTGTCTTGGTGTAATCCTTACATCCTCACTTTCCCTCATCCCATATACCTAATCAGTTCCCAAATCTTACCATTTCTATCTCTTTAACATTTGTCGTTTCTGAAAGGTGCTATTCTGTTCACCCGTACAGTCACCACCTTCGTTTAGACTCTTGTCACTTTTTCCTTTGGCACTGCCATCTGTTTATTGGTCTCCCTGTCCCAAGACCCTCATCAATCCATCCTCCACAGCATTGTCAAAATAATTTTTCTTAAGTGTAGCTCTGACCATGACTCTTTGCCCAATCAATTTCAGTGGTCCCTCTAGAGTTAAATATAAACCCCAGTGTTTTAGCTTTTAAAGCCCTCAGCCCCCAAATCATCTTTCCAGCCTCACTGGATATTACTCCCCTTTCTGCACTGCACGCTTCTCCTACCCAAACTGGCCTTTCTGTTCCTCAAATATGACACTTCTTCTCTCATCTACATGCCTTTGTACTGACCATCTCCCATGCCTAGAATGTACTTCCTCCTCCCATTATCTCATGAAATTCCTCTTTTCCTTTAGGATGCAGCTCAAGCACACTTTATACATTAGGCTTTTCCCTACTAATTCCCCTCATCTCAAACTAAACTTGTATATAACTACTTAATATTTTTTATTCTCTTTACATTTAATTGATATATACTTAAATATGTTCTTGTCATCTTTCCCACTGGAATGAAAGCTTCTGGCAACAAGGAGGTCTTGTTTTCATTCTAACAGAGATGGATGACATGGCAGGTGTTTAATATATATTAATGCTGCTGGAGTGTTATTTTGGAACTCTGTCTAAAATTAGTCATTAGATGTTAAAAATCTAATAACTTAAAGAAGTAATAGTTATATGTATTAGAACCTGATAACCTTTGAGGAAGTAAAGGAAAAGTACTGGGATGGAAGAAGAAGAGAAGAACTAAAGTTTCGTTGTCTTCAAGGACATAAAAGTTGTTTTCACTTTGATTATTTTCCTTTCATGAATAAAACACTTGTTTTCCCCTCATCTAGGTGGGAGCTGCTCTCAGACCAGCCTTTTCACAAGATACTCCATCAGACATAATTGCAAAAGCTTGCCAGGTAGGAAGAAAAATATTATTTTTTATGGTTGATACTGACACCTTTAGGAATTCACTTTCCTTTCAAAAAACAATAAGAAAGGAAAAATTAAGTAACAAATACTTTTAACAGTGGAAAAATGTAGTGACTTTGAATCTTTATATCTAACAAGACATAAGCAAATAGATGTAGAAATCATAAGTGAAGCAAAAATAAATGACAAGTTTAAGAATTCTATAAGAATGGTCTACAAGAGCCCATAATAATTAAACATTTGTAATAATAAATTCAGTAATAAGATTTTTGATCATTTGCATAGGATAACAAAACTCTACAATAATAATATTGATAATGATAATCATAGCAGCCAACATTTAAATAATGTTTGCTGTGAGCAATGCACTATTATCTCATTTGATCCTCACAAAAACTCTGGGAGGTAGGTGCTATTGTTATTTTCAAATTACAAATGAGGAACCTGAAGCAAACAGAAGTTAAGTGACTTGCCAAAAGACTATTTTCTTATCTTAAAAAAGTTTTCACCATTTGAAAATAATTAATCGAAGTAAATTTTCTCACATGATTATATTTCTTTATAAGACCAAATATTCCAAAAATTGTCAATAAATTCCAGGTTTTTTTCTTATGGAGTGAATTGAATATTCTTTCTATTGTCATATTTTCAAGAATCTAAGTATTTCTTTACTTCATATTAATCTATAAATAAGGTTGTACCTAATTCTAAAATGATTGATTTGAGCATTCAGATATCTATTAGGATAGAGTTATGCTCCAACTTGCACTCTGGACAAAAGGAAGAAAAATATCACTAGAAATAAATTCTTTCCTTTTTTAAAAAGAAAATATAAGCCCTCATTAAGTGACATATGCATCTCAGTTAATGAGACTGGTTATTTAAATGAATTATGTTAGCAAAACTTTTTTTCTTAAAATCATGGTAATATTAGGTAATTGTAAACAGACATTAAATTATAGTGTAGAAAACATAGTAAAACCATTATGCCTTTTATAGAATTGCTGCAGTAAAGTTCTAAAAAACCTAATGTTGATATATTCTTTTTTTGTCTTGCCCTAACAAGTACCTCTTTCTTTCTCTTCCTTATATTGGTACTATATATTCCTTGTTGGGCAGCTAGGTGGTTCCTAGGAAGAGTGCCAGGCCTGGAGTCAGGAAGACTCATCTTCTTGAGTTCAAATCTGGCCTCAGATACTTACTAGCTGTGTGACCCTGGGCAAGTCACTTAACCCTGTTTGCCTCAGTTTCCTCATCTGCAAAATGAGTTGGAGAAGGAAATGGCTAACCACTACAGTATCTTTGCTAAGAATACCCCAAATGGGGTCACAAAAAGTTGGACATGACTGAAAAACTACTGAACAACAAATACTCTTTGCTGCTTAGATTTTTAAGAATGAATTTCATTTGTTTTCATGAAAAATAACTTTATTTTTATTTGTCCAGGTTTGTAGCACATGGATTGGAAGTGGAGTTGTTAGTGATCTCAATGATCTCCGCCGAGTACACAATTTGCTTGTTTCTTCACTAGACAAAGTACAGGCAGGAAAAGGATCTTCTAGCCAACTTTATAGAGAGAGTGCCACAACTATGGAAAAACTGGCAGTGCTGAAAGCTTGGGCTGAGGTAACAATTTCCCTTTTTTTTTTTTTAAACCTTGTAATGTCATTTAAAAATAATCTTAGAAAAAACTAACAAAATTAAGAAATCTTTAGCCAACCTGATTACAGAGGAAAAGACAGAAAATCAATTGAAAAAAACCAAATGAACAAAGTGAAATCACTGTAAATCCATAAGAAATAAAAAGAATTATATCAGCACTTAATATGCACAACTATAAACAAAACCGATACCACAAAAGAAATGGGTTACCTTAAAAATTATAAGATGCCAAAATGAAAATAAGAACAAATCGAGATCTTAAATTACTCAGATCTCAGAAAAGGAGATAGAACTGTTTATAAAGGATCTACCAAAGCAAAAAACTGGTGGTCTAAATGGATTTATAGGTGAATTCTTATCAAACATTTAAAGAAAAACTATTACCTATTCTATAAAATTTTTCGTAAAAACTGAGAAATAAAGTACTCAACCAAACTCCTTATGTGAGATAAATATGGAGAGAATGCTAAAACAAAGAAATAGAACCATAGACCAATATCATTAATGAATATTGATTTTAAAATTCTAAATAAAATCCTGGCAAAAGGATTTAAAGGATTTTTATAGCAATTTATCCAAAACATCATTCATTATGATCAAGTTGGATTTTTGCCAGGGATGCAAGAATGGTTCACAGTTAGGAAAATCTTACTAAAAACAAAAACATTCAAAATCACGTGAGTATCTCAAGAGATATAGAAAAATTCTTTGCTACAACACTCATTTATAATATATGTCTTACAAAGTATAGGCATAGATGGAGATATATTTATATACCTATGTGTGTGTATAAATCTGTACATGTATGTTAGAAAGAGAGAAACATCTACCTGTCAATATATTTATCTAGTTATCTGTCTATAAAGATAACTTGACAAATCAATTTATGTAGAGCTTGATAATTCTGTCTCTATATAATATATGATGATTATATTGCTTTTGTAATACTGATTCCTTGCATCCCTGGCAAAAAGTCAGCCAAATAAATTTTGATATATTACTCTAGTTTTTTCTCAGGATTTTATTTAAAATTTTTGTATCAATAGACATTTGTGATATATAAGAAACAGCTAAGTGGTACAATGTATACAGTGCCAGGCCTGGAGTCAGGAAGACTCATCTTCCTGTGTTCAAATCTAGCCTCAGATACTTCCTAGCTGTGTGACCCTGTGCAAGTCACTTAACCCTGTTTGCCTCAGTTTCTTCATCTGTAAAATAAGCTAGAGAAGGAAATGGCAAACCATTCCAATATCTTTGCCAAGAAAACCCCAAATGGCATCACAAAGAGTCAGACATGACAGAAAAATTACTGTACAACAACACTGCTCATAATCTTCCTTCACCATCCTCTTCTTTGGTGTTTTGAATTGTAAATCAATTTTGTTGTTTGGTTTAAAAAAAACAACAACAACAGCTTTTGTCATGGGATTTTGTCAAGGATTCTTTTGAAAGTCTAATATCTCCTTCTTTCCGGTTACAAATATTGATTTATTGTCAATTTCTTTGGATATTCACCTCTTACACTAAACCAAATGAAGTGTCTTCAGATTTATATGAATTACTTCTTTATTATTATGGGGAACTTAGGTAAGATATACACACAAACATAAATTATAGAAAACTTTTTTTTTAAACCAGTGTTCTCTCATCTGTCTATATTTCAGCAACCCCCATTGACATCTGAATGAATTTTTCAAGTCTATTTAATTTTTAGTACCTGATTTTTTTTCCTTCTTCTCATTCCAAAACCAGTATTTCTCAATTATTTTCATTATTTCTGTCTTTCCCAGTTGTTCTACCAGGCCTTGTTCCCAAATACCTCTTCTAGTAACTATTTTCATTCCTCTTCCAGTCCATTTTCTTAGTTTCCTGTTTTAGCAGCAGGGGCTTTTGGCTATACAGCCTTTAGTAACTATGAGCATTCTTTTGCTCCTTTAGATCCAGCTTAAGGAATTGCTAACTTAAAATATGTAATCAATATTTATGGAGGTGATAGATGTAAGTTATGTTACTTTTCTTTTCACAAATGAAGAAGTTGAAAAGTTTACATGATTTCCAAAATGTCTCATGAGATGTTCAGGATTTTTTTTTTCTTTGCTAAATTCTAGGACCCAAATCAAAGCTGTCTTTTTAAAAAAGAATGCCTTTCTACCATTTTATTTTACTTTTTTGTTTTAGCTTAGGCAATAATAAGTTACAATAATAATATTTATATTTGTTGTTTATCCTTGTTGATAAATGCAGTATTTTTTTTAAATTAAGACTCAATACTTTAGGTAATAATTCTTATAAGAAGATATAGTTTTCTTTTTTCTAAGACTTGTTTCATTGTTATTTTGAAATGCATGAAAATATGTTGTTAGTAGTTTTTGTGGAATTTAATTTTGGACTCAAAGTGTACCACACTCTTTTTGACTGTCAAATGCAAATCTTTTAAGGATCTAAAATGGTATAGTTGATAAAAAGTAAAGTGATAAAACAAAAATACAGTTCATCTTCACAGAAAGTTTTCTCAATTTCCCAACCACATTCAGCAACTTCCCCTAAAGAAGTGACAGTTATAAAGTTCCTGATCACGAGATCATTTCCCTGTAACAGCTGTTCTGCTGACTTTCATAATGTCTTTGATTCATTTGCTTCAGTGATGTGATCAAAATACCATATATGAAGATTAATAATGTGTATTCTTATTTTGTACTATATATTTGAAATTCTTATTGGATTCATTCTTAACATGTAAATATCACTAACAACAAATATGACTTCTATTAAAGTTGTATGCTAATACCTGGATATTGATCCCTGGTGGTTAAAAAAAAAATTAAAGACTCCTTATCAGCTGAAAGTTTTCCCTCTCTCCTCATATTTCTCTCAGTAGTTTGCCTCAACTTGCTCTTTGTAGGTATCATACTCTTCTCTTTTAGCATAATTATTTTTTTCAATAACTCAACAAACATTTACTAAGCCCTTAATTGGGACCAGGAATTGTGTTAAGTGCTAGGGATACAACAAAAGGAAAAAAAAAAAAAGCAGTTCCTGCCTTCAAGGTATGGTATAGATTCGAATGGGAGACAGAACACCTAGGTATCTACTGGCTATATGTAGATTTTTCTTTTTTTAAAAAATTTTTTATTAATTTATTTTGATTTATCAACAATCACTTCCATAAACTTTTGAGGTTTAAATTTTTCTCCTCTTACCTCTCCCTCCCCGAGATGGCACACAATCTGATATAGGCTATACATATACATTCCTATTAAACATATTTTCACATCAGTCATGTTATAAGGAGGAATTAGAACCAATAGGACGAACCACAAGAAAGAGGAAACAAAACCAGATAGAAAAAAAAATTGCAAATAGTATGCTTCAATCTGCTTTCAAACTCCATAGTTTTTTCTTTGGATATGGATGGCATTTTCCATCATGAGACTTTTGGAGATATCTTAGATCCTTGCATTAGCATAATTATTTGTCTTTATGTTGTTTGCCCCTTATTAGATTGTGAGCTCAAAAGTAGGTTTTGTATCATCTTTGAATTCCCTGCATCTAGCAGAGTGTGTTGAATGTAACTGGAAAGTAATAAATGTTCATGAGTTCAATTAAATTGAAACTGATTTTTTGCTAATCATCTTAATAACACATTCTTTAAGATTTGTACCAGTCAGTTGTCAAAGCCCATGAGATATACAGAGGAGAAACACATTTCATCTCCCATAGGAAGTATTTTTAATGCTTTTCTCAAGTTCTAGTAGTCCTATCTTTATGTTTAACAAATTAAGATAATTTTTCCTTAAAAAGAGAAAAGAACACATCTGGGTGAGCTACATGAATAGTACATAATTTTTAGTTCTTGCCATGCCAGAATATTGCATACCCCTTAAGGAATATCATCATATTGGGATTTGGAAAAACAGTTGCAAAAATCCTTTGCTTGAAAGTTTCCCATCCATAAACTTTCACATAGAACAGTTTATAGAATTATAAAGAAGACTGGGGAGGCCGTAAATATGTAACTTTATCCCAGTACAAACAAAGGAATTTAGTGGAGTCTTTATGGGGTAGCACAAGGGAAAAGCAAGGGAGTGTGTTGGGTGGGGAAAGTAACCATAAAACAGGACAATCAGGGAGGGAAGGCTCTCTCAGAACATGGCGATAAACTACTGTAATAAGAATACTTTAAAATTTGTGATTACCAGAAATTCACAAAACTGGTAGCTTTACAATATTTATAATCAGTTAGTTATGATAAATGAAATGTATAATGATTTTGGCTAAAAATTTTTCCTTTTTATTTATTTGTATGCCATAACCTTGATCAGGTTTATGTTGTTGCCATGAATATTAAAAAGGAAGCAGAGACTAAACCAAAAAGAACCATAAAAAACACTGATGATGAAGATGATGATTATGGGACCATAGATGAGCTGCCACCAGACAGTTTAATTACACTTGTACAGCCTGAATTGCCGATACTTAGCCGCCTCTGGTTGGCAGCATTAAAAGACTATGCACTTTTGACTCTACCAGCTGAATTTTCAAGTCAGCTTCCACCAGATGGTAAGTATTATAGATATAGTTTTGCTTTTGGTGGGGTTTAGTATAAAGATTAAACACAAAAAGTTAGAGGCAAGGAGTAATAATATCTTACAGTTGTGTTATGTTTTGTATATTTCCATATTTAAATACTTTCAGACACATTTGCCTTTTTAAAACATTAAGTCTTTAATAGTAGACTATATTGCTACAGAGCAGCTAGGTGGCGGAGTGGATAGAGTGCCAGACCTGGAGTCAGGAAGACTTATCTTTGTGAATTCAAATCTGGCCTCAGATACTTCCTAGCAGTGTGACCCTGGGAAAGGCACTTAATCCTATTTGCCTCAGTTTCCTCATTTGTAAAATGAACTGGAGAAGGAAAAGGCAGATCACTCTAGTATCTTTGCCAAGAAAACCCTATGATGCCTAAAAAGTTCAAGAAACATAGTTTCTGGATAATTAATCATTTTATTAATAATGCTAGCATTTTCTTAATAAAAGGAATGGTCATTTGGCCATCTGTCTCTTGGACCAAAGACAGTCATGGTGGTGGGTTTGTGGCTTTTATGCCCTTGCAAAAGTGGGTGTTCCAGAGGGTAGCTGTCAACATTATTTGGTTAACAAATAATGACAGAGAATGAATCTTAACAATGAAAGGTTGGACCTAGTCTAATGAATTTTGATTATGTTGTTTACTTCTAAATTGCCCAGCCTTGGGTAATCTATTCAAATAATTTATCCCCACTGAATCCTGTGTAGAGCACAATGAGTTTCCCAATCTTAGATTAAATTCCTTGTAAGGTTGGTTGAGGTCAGACCATGATTGGGGAGAAAGTTAATTCAACCTTCAGAGCCTGAGCTTTGAAATGATGACTTTAGGTAAAAGGCGGATCTCCTCAAATCATTGCTTGTTAATAATCATTTCTCTCAACCCCAAATGGGGTCACTAAGAGTCTGACTTGACTAAAAAATGATCAAACAATATTGCTATGTTTTTTCCCTTATTCTCCATGAAACTCATATTTGCAGACCTTCAAAAGATAACAGACTTATCTGTTCATCCAAACAAAATGTTGAATATTATCACAAAATATTGACATTGTGGAATAGGATACTCTTAAAAATAATTTATTAAATAACTATTCATTTCCCCCACAATTTTCTTGAAAGTGTAACATTAATGAAAGTTACAATGAATATTGTATTTGTCCATTTAAAAAAATGCACACTATTATGTGATTGTATAAGTAGTCTTCAACTTATGAATGTCTTGTGTCCAAAAGGAAGTTGTTCAAATTTGGAATGCATTTTCCTCTAGAGGGAAAAAAGTTATAAATGAGAATTAGATTCTCTGTACGGTCCAAAAAAGCCTTTAGTCCTTAGCAGTACTGTAGAATTCAACCTCAATTCACAACATTTATGTTATGAGAAAACTCATCCCAGATTCCTAATCAGTTTATTTTTGGTTCATAGCTCATTTGTAAGTTGAGCACTGCTTATATACCATTCCCATGTTCCCTATTGAATTTCTAACAATAAATAGGATTCCTTGATGACAGTAATCTAATTTATTAAGCATTTATTTAGTGTCTACTATGCCGTCCTTCTTGTAAGCCACTACGCTGGTAATGTTTCAAATGGAAATGAGGAGGAAAAAAAGGGAAGAACAAGGGTCTTCCTAATGGTGAGGCCCAAGTGGAAATAAAAAAGAAAGATACCTTGACTGGAAGGAAGAGAATATTAGAATTATGGGTGACCATAGTAAAGTCAAGAGGAGAATACCTATTAACCCCAGCCATGACACAAAAAAAACAGGTAAAGATGTGCTTCCTAAGCAGAAGCTGGGATGAGGATAAGCCAGACAAGGAGAAATGAGGTTAAGATTTCATATTGAACTGTGTTGTTTATAATATGAGAAATACCTGTATTAAGAAATAAACATTTCTAACTGAATGACAGGGGGAGCCTTTTATACTCCAGAGACAATTGATACAGCTCGGCTTCACTACCGGAACTCTTGGGCTCCAATTCTCCATGCAGTAGCACTTTGGTTAAATAGTACAGGATTTACTAGTTCAGAACCAACAGAAGAAACATCAGTGTCTGGTTTACAAAAACGTCCAACATCTGTCATTTTAAACCAGGCACCTGGAGCAACAGCTAATACTAAATCTTTGCCAGAAATCAACAAAGACAGAATGCATCTGATTTTAGGTAAGGATACTATATTAATATATTTCAAGATTTTTATTACCTCTAAGATTTCACCTCTTATGATGAAAAAGCTAATAACAATATTCATAGAAGGAACAGCAAATAAGGTGAAATTTTTAGCTCATCTTCCAAATATAATAAAGGATTATTATAAAATATTATGTATAATGTTAAAAATTTTCCAGTAAAAATTTCAGCTACTAGGGCAATTCATAGAAGAATATAATTGGATGCGTTTCTCAGGAACAAATTTACTTCCTCACCAATTGGCAGCTTTTCTTTTTGCTTGGCATTTACCAGACTGTACCATGATAAAAAATTAGAACAAATAGTAAATAACTTTGTATGAATCTAAATTGATATCACACTTACAGGTGTTGATTTAACATGTGAAAACTTAGACTGTCTAGTGAAATTTGTTGCCTTCATATATTTGTCATAAGAAGGAAGCAAAATAGGAGACGAATAAGTGCTAAACTAATTAGTAAACCTGTTAACTTAAAAAGAGGGCTGATAGAGTGTTTGCCAGTATTCAGAATAAGGACAGCTATTGTTAACTCACCATATTGAAAATACCCATATAGTTTGATCTCTTAAACTTTGTATATATGAAAAATATTCCTTATATAACTTCATAAATCTTTTTTAGGTTCTTATGTAATTTTAAAATCGTGATATTTAGAAATAATTCTCTCTGGACAGGGTCCTAGAAGTGAAAATAACTAATATCTTCCCAATCTGCTGATTAATTGAATGATTGATTTCCTTTTTTTTTTTTTTTGTTAAACCTAAGTGAAAAGCTACATTAGATCCTGTCAAATTTGGCTCATTCTGGGAAAGATGTGGCTTAGGTGAGCCATTTGAAATTTTTCTTGTACAATGTATGAAATGACAAACTATTTGATACTTTTAGAGCATCTCTGTAGCAATGGTAAAGCCTGTGTTAAAATAATCTATGTGTTATATAAAAGCAGTTTCAACTTTGTTAGGGTGAAAAATTAGGGTAATTTCTCTATGTATTTCAGGTGTTAGTATACAGTTTCTTTGTTCCCCAAGACCTGAGGAACCTATTGAACATGTTACAGCATGTCTGCAGGCATTGCATACCTTACTGGAATCCCCTTGTGCCAGAATTCACATTGGAGAGGATCAGGTACAGTGCGTCTTAGTGCTATAGAATTATGTTCTTTATATTAAGTAGATTTAACTTGTTGAAATAAATATACATAAAGAATATATTATAATATATTAATATATTACAATATACATACAGAAATATTTTTGTGATTGGTCTCCTTTATCATATATAGATCAACTCAAATAATTGTCAAGTATCATGTAGAGAACTGTGCAGGATGAGAGAAAAAGCTTAAATGGGATAGTCCATTCCCTCACAGAGTTTATAATCTAGTAAGGAAGATGTAACATATTCTTAACTACACAATGGATCTTTCATTTCATGCTATGAGTTTTCTGTTAAGTGAAACAAATAACACCGCACATATAGTTGAGAACTTTCTAGAAGAATTGGCATCTTGATTTGGACTTCAAAGGATGAGTTGAAAAGAGGGATGTGTTTGGGGAGGAAAATTAGAGACTTCAAATTTAGACGTGTGGAGTACATTAGTGGAGGTGGGAGGATGTAGGAAAGCAAGGCTTAACTGTTTATAATATAAATATGAAAGTATTATCCAGTGATGGAAATGAAATACTACTACAGTACTACTATAGAATTCAAATCATATCTATCTTGACATTCTCACTATAGAAAAAACCAGAAGACAAAAGGAAGTTATAGTTATATGAAAGGATGGCTCACAGATTTTCCTAAGAGAAGCAAATGAAAGAGTTTACAGGGTTGGTTTTTACCATGCATTCAAAGGCAGCAAGAAGAATCATTTCATTGGATATTTGATTATTTTGCTTTGCAGTGTTGGTGATTAGCATAAACAAGAAGATCAACAATGGGTATGTGGATGAAAGTGACAAATCTAGGGTAACACTGAGGCTGCAAGCCTGAGATGATGGTGGTACTCTTAACAATTGAAAGTTGAAAAGAAGGGAAGGTTTGGAGGGAAAGATAAGGAGTTCTCTTTTGGACATGTTAAGTGTGAGGTGCCTATGGGATATCCAGTTGGAGTTGTCCAAAAGGCAATTGGTGAATATTTTAGTTTTGAATGTCTTATTAACTTTGCTAGTGTTTAAATGTATATGTTTATATAATTACAGTACCAATTACAGGTTGGTAGTGAGGCAATAAAAAATCAGGCATAAACAACTTTTTGTAGGAAATTTGGCCATAAAGAAGAGAAAAAAAGTCAATGGAATGCTTTTTTATAGTACTAGAGAGTGAAATTTAGAATGCTTGATTCCTGAATCACCATTCTAGAGAAGGGAAAAGACATGATCAGGACATACTTTGAGGGATTATCTCTGAGAAGGCATAGAGAGGAAAGAGGGAAGGAAGAGATAGTATGTGGTAATGCTGAGAAGTTTTGAATAGTAGAGAAGGTCAATACAGTTCTCTTCTACTTTACAGGTACTGAATTTTCTCAAAATTGGAAAGTAAATTATCTTCTGAAAGTATGGGTAGTAAAGTTGATGCAATAATGTGGTGAGACAAAACAAAAAAATTTGGAATTCTAAAAACTTCTCATATATATGTTTTTATTTGTAGTCACTGCTCCTTAGATTGTATAAATAAAAAATTACTTAAAATGTAATTATTTAGTTTTTATGTGAACTTTTTCTTTATATGAACTTTTTCTTCAGATTAAGAAATAATTCTATTGCTCAGGCATCCTTGTAGTGGAGTGGTTAATATTCTTGAGTGACTTAAAGATCCTAATGCTGTTAGCCTCATAAGATTAACCTATCTTCTACACCGTTTGAGTACTTAAATACTAGTCACAATCTGATTTTTGCCTGAAAATACATTAGAATAAAACATCACCATTCTTTGATTATTTGTGCTATTATTCTTGTTCATTGTGTTATGCAGTTAACGCCTTGATCTCTAAATTTCTTGATTTTTTTGCAGTCAGTTTATTAGATTTTTATTGAAGTAAATTATTTGGGAATTGAGAATGAATTAAATTTCTCTCTTTTAATTTATCATAGCTCATTGGTGTCGAGTTGCTGAATGTGCTGCATCGACTCCTTTTGACTTGGAATCCACCCTCAGTCCAGCTGTTGGTCACTGGAGTGGTACAGCAAATAGTTAGAGCGGCTCAAGATTATTTGCAAGAAAAAAGAAACACTCTAAGTAAGGCACCAATGGTCACCTTGTCTTTTTAAAAGGATCACTTTTGCAAGGAAAATGAGTGGAATTTTTCCTTTGTAAGGAAACAGTACTATACAGGCAAGAGTGTGCTAGATTTGGAATTAGGAACACCCAAGTTCAAAACTGACCTCAGATGTGGGCTTTGTAAGCCTGGTTGACTCACCTAACCTCTCTGAGTCTCAGTTCTTTATCTGTAAAATGGGAATAATAATACAATTTACTTCAAAGGGTTGTTGTGAAGACCAAATGAGATAATGTAAAAAGTTTAATAAACCTTATAGCACTAGATAAATGTAAGCTTCTCTTATTCCTTCTCCTCTTATTATTATTTCTTCTGTTGATAAATTCAGAAATGTTTTAATATTTGAGATCATAGAACTTGCTGACAATTTTCATCTCAGTTTTGAACATAATATAAAAGTTTAAAAACAGTTTTATTTTTATCTGAGATCCACATAGCTAACAAATTATAATAAATTTATTATAATAAAAATCTCTACATAACCAAAACATTTTAAAGCCCAATCAGTGGCCCTTTTTAAAAAAGTCATTTTGAGTATAATGAAATGTGACAGACATATAATTAAGCCCATTGAAATGAGGTTTGTCTCATAGCATCAATTAGATTTGTATTTGCTAGTCTTTTTGAATACTTTTCTTAAGTATTTTTATCATATTGTATTTTATCTGGTGGTATGTGTTGCCTTTTATGTTGGAAGTTTCACCAAATTTTCTTTTATCTAAGATGAAGATGATATGGAAAAAGAGACTTGCCCTGTGTTAGGAGAAGGAGGTGACAGTGGTGGGCTTGTTCCTGGAAAATCTCTTGTCTTTGCAACCATGGAGCTATTGATGTTCATCTTAGTACGGCATATGCCACATCTCAGTACCAAGATGTCAGATTCACCAAGTCATGTATCCACCAAAACAAGATTATCTGAAGAAAGTGCTCGTTTAGTGGCAGCTGCAGTTACCATCCTCTCAGACCTGCCATCTCTTTGCTCTCCTGCTGGTATAGTAGATATATATTACATTTGATTAAGATTGCTTCCTTGTCATTTTAAGCTCTATTTTAATTTGCTTTCCTTTACAAAATTCAAGCACTGACTAATGATGAATATAATTATTCTTTTTAAAGTAATTTAAAGGGCCCATAAAAATATCAGAAGAAAGACTGAAATTCCAGCATGACTACAGTTAAATTAGCTATTAAGATATTAACAGGTTATTTAAAAAAAAAACTTTAACATTTGCTTTGCAAGATCTAACAGATTTCTATAAATGTGTTTAGTCTGAAAAGTGAAATGGTCATAGCCATATGTGGGGATTTCGGAGGAAGTTGCCCCAAAGGAGGTAGTCTAGTGATTTAAACATTAGCAACTTAATAGCAGCAACAGTAGCTTCTATTTCTCAGTGTAATAGATGTGCTTTTGATACTTGTAAAAAGTTCTCATGTTTTAAAATTAATTTTAGAAACTTAATGTTTAAGCTGTATGCTTAATTCGCAGTATATAAAGGAAAAATTAACCATAAATAGGTATAAAGTATCATTAAAGATTAACAAAAGCCAAGCTATTAAAAGTTTGTGAATTCCGTTTTGTGTCATTTTACCAATATTAACTTCTATCAAGAGTGCTTTCTGATTATACTATAATGATATAGTTCATACTATATTTAATTATAAACAAATATATAGGGTGGAAAATAAATTTTAAGATCAATGCCTATATTTTAGTAGTGTTTTTCTGTGTGTTTTAGAAGTTATTTTCTGAACAAATCCATCAAGATTACTGTTTGTTACTATTATCGGTTAAGACTATTTATATAGTTCAATTGCTACCAATACTATTATTGTAGTCTTTTTTACCTCCCTCAATCTTATTTAACTTACACTTGATGAATAATTAGCTAACAATTTTCTGTGCTTATTAACATACTGAGAATTTTTGAGTGATACAAAATTATAAGAAGTCTTTAAGTTACTATTAATTAAAAATAATTCCTGCCTTTTCTATCAGTCTTTTTTGATGATATGTATGGTACAGTGAATGCATTATGCCCATCTCAAGGCTTTTCGTCAGTACAGCAGTATGTAAAAACTTCATTTAATCACCTGAATGTTTTATGCAATGATATCAAATGTATGAACATTTGGATGACTGAATTGGTCATTTCTGTCTCTATGTCTATCATTATGTAGACATAGAGGCTTATTCCTTACATGTAATGAATAGCAAGTTAATGCTCGAGAAGTTCCAAGATTTGCAGCCATTCTCAGTGTTTTGTTGTTGAACTAACTGGAGCTACAAAGGGGTTCTAGAGAAGGAAACAACTCAATTCAAAAGCAGCAAACATTTTTATGTGCCTTTTATGTGTGTGCAAGGCACTGGGCAAGGCACTGGGGATGGTAAGACAAAATGAAAAATTCTCTCTGTCCTCAAAGAGGTACAACATTTAAATAAAATACCACCTACAATATAATTTAATGAAGAAGAAAGCACCAACAATTAACATAGTTTAGAAAAGACTTCGTGTAGAAGGTGACACCTGAGTTCAGACTTGAAGGAAAGTAGCTGTTCTAACAGATAGAGATAAAGAAGCGCATACCAGACCAAGGCGACAACTTATTCAAAGGCATGGAGGTGGGATATGGCATACCAAACTTATGGTGAAGCAAATAGGCCAGTTTGACTAGAATGTAGAGTGCATCAATAAGAGTAATTTGAAATAAGTCTAGAAACACAAGGCTTGAGTCAAATTGTGACAGGCTTTAAATATCAAGCTGAGGAGTTTTGGGTGGTTTTTTTTTTTTTTAACTTCAAGACAATTAGAAAGTTTGCAATTTATCTTAGAGTCAGTTTTATTTCAGAGACACCGAAGATTCTTGAGCAAAGAAGCTATTTGTTAGACCTCTGCTTTAGAAAGATTATTTTTATAGCTAGATGGAGGAATGGATAGGGAGAAAGAGACACTGAAAGCAGAGAATTAAATTAGGAGAATTTTTCAGTAGTCCAGATGAGAAATGATGTGGATCTGAATTAGGGTATTGGTTTTGTGAGAGGAGAGAAAAGGACAAATGAAGGAGAAATTGTGGAGGTAGGATTAACAAGATTTGGAAGCCAGTTGAATATTACAGGTAAGGATGATTTGAGAGTGACTTGAAGATTTGAACCTGGGTGGCTAGAAGAGAGTGTTTTCAATACCATGGACTGGACTATTTTCAACAGAAATTAGAAGGTTTGGAGGAGGAACAGATTTAGGGGGGTGAATATAATAAATTCATTTTAGTCGTGTTCAGTTTGAGATGCAAATAGGACATCTAAGTGAACCTATGTGGTAGATAATTGAAAATGCAGAATGAGAACTCAAGAGAAAAATTTTTTAAATGTTACATATGTAGGGTTTCCCAAAGGCTTAGTGTAATTTTAAGCTGTATTTAATTTTTAATACCTTATAAAACTGCACTAAGATTTTTGTGATACTGTGTATCTATATATACATATATATTATGAATCTATATATCTTTCTACATATTTAGTAATCATAAAAGTTAAAATTGTATGTAGTAGTGGTCAGAGTAGCATTAGAGGTTTTAGGAGACCTCAATTCTGTTGTTGTTGTTGTTATTGTTATTGTGTTGTTTCTGTCATGTCTAATTCTTTGCAACCCCATTTGGGGTTTTCTTGGCAAAAATATTGGAGTGATTTGCCATTTCCTTCTCCAGCTTGTTTTACAGATGAGGAAACTGAGGCAAACAGGGTTAAGTGATTTGCCCAGGGTTACACAGCTAGTAAGTGTATGAGGCCAGATTTGAACTCAGGTTTTCCTGACTTCAGACTCAGTGCACTATCCACTGTGCCACCTAGCTATCCCCCTCAATTCTAGATGGGAGGAAATAGGGAAGGCTTCATAAACCACGTGACACTTAATATAGGACTTTGAAACAAAAGAAGAAAGGATTTCAGTAGAGCAAGTTGGAGGGATTGTCCATTCCAGGCATGAGAAGCATATATATGAGGCTTTTAAAAGAAGACAGAAGATGATTAGGGAACAATTAATAGTCCAGTTTGACTGGAATATAGAGTCTATACATAAAGGAGAAGGGTGAAATAAAGGTAGAAAGGTAAACTGGGGCCAAGTTATAGAGGCCCTTGAGTGCCAGATTTATTATAATATTAAGTACTAAGAAGTTAATAACAGGTTTTGGACAGCGGGTTAAAGTGATCAGAACTGTGAATAGGAAAATTATTTTAGCAGCCACATCAAGAATAGATTGGAGATTGGTTAAGAGCCTTTTACAGTAGTCAATGATAGAGAAAATAAGGTCCTGGACACCTATGGTAGTAGTGGAAATAAGAGGATGAATTCCAAGGAGAAAAAAAAGAAAAAAGCAAACATGGTAGCATTAAATTGAGTGGTTGAGAGGGATAGAAAACTAACAGGATGAGGAGGGGTAGTGAAGAGGACGTCCCAGTGTTCAAGCCTTGAGTGATGGGAAGGATAGTATTGTCATCCACAAAAATGGGGAATTTAGTACGAGGAGCTAGTCTAGGAAAGAAGACAAATTTGCTTGCAGACATTTTGATTTTTAGGTCAAGACAGACCCTCCCAAATTGAAATGTACAAGAAGGAGTTATAATTACAATAGAACACATAGTCACATGAGCATGGGAATAAGGAGGTATAGAGAACATGATTAGAGGTTTTCTTTCGTCCTAGCTAAAACCAGAGCTGGTCCTGGTAGCTCCTACTGTTAACCACAGAAATATTGTGGGAAACAGGTCTTGTGACAGAAATTACATCTGAATCTTGATCATCTCCTATTCTGTGTTCTTTTCTTTCAAGCTTGGGGAAGGGGTAGTGGTGAAGGGGGTACCTCCGTAGTGAGAATTCTGTGGTCTCTTAGTCCAATAAGTAGTGTAGATTTTAGGAAAGCAGATTTCAAAAAATTGAGGAAAAAAATGCCAGTATGACCGCATAGCAGAGACTCTAAAGTGGAATTCAAGTCGAGAGAGACTAAAAAATTTACTTCTGAATACAGAATTGTGAACAGTCCTGATGACTAAGAAAAAAATCTTGGCTTTATGAGCTAAGTTGATTAGGTTTTTTAAAAAAACACACACAAAAGGCAGAAAGATGGACAAATAACTAACAAAGAATGCATAAAGTCACTATCCTGTGAAAAGTAGTATCATCAAATTTTAGAGTTTGAAAGGACCTCAGATAGATCACCTAGTCAGACTCCATTATTTTGCAGATGGTGAAAGTGAGGCTCAAAGAAATTACTTGCTCATCATATAGCTAGTTAGTGGCAAAGCCAACACATCACTCTGTCAATGAAATTTAAAATTATCAAGTGAATAAACTAAGACCTCAGAATCTATTGAAACAGAAATAAATTAATTACATTGTTACAATATTTGGTTTTTTTTCCTTTTAGGAAAAGTACAGAATATTTGTATTAAATTTCAGATTTATTTTTACTTTTTTCTCTTTGTCAAATGTTTATTTTTGCCAACAGATAACCAAAATGCAGTTGAGATGTCAATTTCAAATTTAAGCATCATGTCAAAATATCAGTTTTTTCCTTTGAGAATTTATGAAACTATATTGGTTACAAAGTTATAATAGTTAAAAATAATTACTTCTTTTTTATTTGGGAACTGAAGTTAGATCCTTTCTTTCTTAGTATAGTGTTAATAGTGGGACTTGTGAATAAGTAACTGAAGTGTGCTCAATACCAATATATTACTCACAATTAATACCAACTATTTAAAACTAAATATATTAACAATACATCTATAAAGAAAAATTAGTGAGGTTAAAAGTATACAGGAAACAAAGGACCTAAAATAAGGATGATTGAAATTTGTTGGTGATTTTTTTGCGGTATAAGTTGTTGAGATACAACTCTAAACTGAGAATATCCCTGAAATGAAACTTGTACCATGCTAGACTAAGTAATAGCAGATATTCAAATTGTACATTTAAGAACAGACACTCAGTGGCAAA